AATACCTCGACCGGACCGCTAGACTAATTAGCCACTGGGCACCATTGCCTAGCCAGTTCACCCTTGGAGCCAGGCATCACAATTCTTAATGATGAAATAAGAAGCCAAGGACCCGCACCCCTCCCCCTCCTCTCCATCTGCACCTGTGAAGACAGCAGCCAAGGGAACCCCATGCAGTCTCGAGTGGGGTCGCCAGGGGCCGGGGGACCCAAGGCCAGGGGGTTGGTTCAGGTTCGATCCGTGCTTCAGAACCACCTGTGGAATGCGACCGACGCCCTTCCTAGTCCCCCGCCTGCGCCAGGTGGGCTGTGATCTCCAGATCGTTCCTTCTGTCTGTGTTCCACTCTCACTAGATCCCAGCGTCACCCGTCACCATGTGCGGTGGTTCCCGGAATCCTGTTTCCACAATGGCACGGGACGCTCAGAGAAGTCCACTTTTGCCGCAACACATGTAAGTACGAGGTTGTGGTGCGTGACCCCGCATGGTTCCCAGAATCCTGTTCCCACCACAGGACGAGATGCTCAGAGAAGTCAGCGTGTGCCATGACACATGTAGGCATGAGGTTGTGGTGTGTGACCGAGCACTGGGGCCTGCGCTTCTGGACCACGGTGCAGGCCTGGACGGAGAGTGTGCATACTGGCTCTTCCAGAGAGTGGAAGAGAGAGTTGGCTGGTACATACAGACATAGAAGCTACATCACAAAGCAGACAGAAATACGGAGATGGGTAATAGATGGACGTAGATGATAGGATGTCTGCATGGATGAATCGTTGGATGATTGGTGGATAGAATAATAGAAGAGCGTCGGATGACTGGATGGATGAATTGCTGCATGATTGGTTGATAGATGATAGATATAGATAGAACATACTTAGATGGATGGATAGATGATAGGGAGAGTGATATAATAGCTATATGATAAGTAGATAGGTATAGATGATCCATAGACAAATGATAGATATTGTAGATGAATAGGTAGATAAACATCATAGGTGAAGGAAATAGGTAACTGATGACAGTTGATCAACAGATGGCTGCAGGATAGATCTGTGGATATGATAGATGGTAGGTAAATATAGATAGATGATTGATATGATGGATGGATGGGTGTCAGGTAAGTAGAGAGGATGGATGGATGGATGGATGGATGGATGGATGGATGGATGGATGGA